AAGTTGGAAAAGTCAACTGGATGTTGACTTATGTGTTAGTGGGCTTGGATGTGAGTTCCAATGGTTCAGTTAGCTTTAGCAGATGATTTGTGACTTAGGAGCATGATCAGAATGAATTTTGGAGGTTCGTAGTAGATTTAGGCTTGAATTGGCGAAGTTGATATTTTAGCAATTTATGGTTGGTAGGCGAGATTTTGATATAGGGATCGGAATGGAATTCCGAGAGTTGCAGTAGTTTTGTTGTATCATTTGGGATGTGTGTGCAAATTTTCAGGTCATTCGGACTTGGTTTGGTTGGGTTTTTTTATCAAAAGCGGAATTCGGAAGATTTTAGAAAGTTTGGCTTGAATCCGATGTGTTTTGGGTGATTTGATGTTGTTTGAGGTGTTTTGATGATTGGAACAAGTTTGTATAAGGTTTTAGGTATGTTGGTGCCTTTGGTTGATGTCCCGGGGGCCTCCGGGGAGTTTCGGGTGGTCAATCAGATCATTTTGGAGTTAAGAAAATTGCAGAAGTTGCAGGTTTTTACTCTTTGCGTTCGCGAGTGGACCCTCACGTTCGCGAAGAGCCAGTGGAAGTCAGTGGAATCTTGGCCTTCGCATTCACAAGAAGGGCTTCGCATTCGCGGAGGGCTGGGAAGTGAAGCATCACGTTCGCGAGAAGGGCTTCGCGTTCGCGTAGAGGAATTTGGGTCAGCTGGGTTAATATGGATCGCGTTCCCGTAGGTTTGAGAGGCTGAAGCATCGTGTTCATGATGGTAGGGTCGCGTTCGCGAAGGAAAGTTTTGGCCAGAGGAATTTTTGTGCTTCGCGACCGCGAGGCTTCGACCGCGTTCGCGAAGAAGGAAATTGGGCCTGGGCAGAAGGTTTTTAAACTCGTCTTGTCCGCGATTTTGGGGCTTATTTCCTCCATAGTTGGTCATTTTGGGAGATTTTTGGAGGATTGAAGAGGTATTCAAGGGGAATCGTTGGAAGGTAAGATTCTCGGACGTAAAACTCGATTATTATGTGAATTTCACCTAGAAAATCATGAAATCTAAGCCTAAAATTGAAGAACTAGTGCTTAAAATTGGAGGCCAAACATTTGGGATTTGAAGGGTCATTTGTGAATGGATTTTGATGATCTTGGTATGTATGAACTCGTGGGGAGATAAGGAATCTATTGGTGTGAATTTTTTTGAATTTCAAGACGTGGGCCCGAGGGTCGGGGTTTGGTAATTTCGGGATTTGTGCCCTTTATTGATTGTTTTCGCTTAGGCTTTGTTCTCTTAGCATATTTTGATGACCTCATTCTAATTTTGGATAGATTCGACGTGCGTGGAGGCCGATTCGAGGTCAAAGGCATCGCGAGCTAGAGTTTAGCCGGTTCGAGGTGAGTAATGATTGTAAATGATGTTCTAAAGGTTCGAAACCCCGGATTGCACATCGTAGTGCTATATTGAGGTGAGGCACACACTGGATGACAAGCGTGGGATCGTACACTATTGGAGATTGTGACTTGGTCCGTCCCGGTTGATGATTTTACCGCGTATTTGACTGAAATTATTGCTATCATCATGATTTGGGCTGAATGCCATATTTGGGCTTCGTGCCAACTATTTGAACCCTTCGGGGATTTTATTACTATTTTCTTACTGTTTTTACTTACTTGAACTCAGTCATGTTAATTTCCACTATTTTTCTACTCAGTCATGTTTACTCAGTTTTAAGACTTAAATAATATTTTAAATGATGTTTGGGCTGAGAAACACTGTTTTACTATTGCCCGAGAGGCTAGTGATGATTTTTGACTGAGTAAGGACGATGGCCTATGTTGTGAGGAAACACTGCTAGTGATTTGAGGTCGAGGGCCTGAGATATGTACGCCACGAGGTGGCTTGATTGATATGAGGCCGAAGGCCTAGTTTGATGGCATGAGATGGCTTGATATTGCGCTTGGGCCGTAAGGGGCCCCTCCAGGAGTCTGCACACCCCCAGTGAGCACGGGTACCCATTGTGATGTGAGATTGTGCCCGAATGGCTGGTATTGTTCTGAGATGTTGTCCGAGGGGCTGATTTGTTGATACTGTGCCCGAGGGGCGAACTTTTATGTGTTTATTTTTCCTTAATTGCCTGTCAATTACCTGCTTACTTATTGAAAAAGGATTTTACTTATCTTTTCACTGGTTTACTGCTTTAAAGAGTTTTACTGCTTCATTATAGAATGCCATGTGCCTTACGTGATTTCTTTCTTTCAGTCTTTATTTACATTTGTTACTCACTGAGTTGGAGTACTCACTTTACTCCCTGCAACCCATGTGCAGATTCAGGCATTATTGATCCTGCCAGTGCGAGTTGAGATCTCCCAGCGGATATTCGGAGTTCACAAGGTAGCTGCTTGCCGTCCGTAGGCCCGTGTTTCTCCCTCTTTATCATTTCTATCACTTATCAGACATTTGAAACAGTTTTAGACTCTTCAAACTTGTATTAGGTTTTATAGATGCTCATGACTAGTGACACCCCGATATCGGGCTGTGTTGGGTTGTACTTCCGTATTTTTTTGATATTATCTACTACTTAGTATTATTAATCATGTTTTAGACTACTTTCTTGATGTTTAACTATTTAACATCGAATTGAGAATAGTTGGCTGGCCTTGTCTTCATGAGAGGCGTCATCACGACCGGGCCCGGATTTGGGGTCGTGACAATACAAGATAAAACAACACTCGTGCATCAAGGTGGGAAAGTATGCCCGATCACCATTTCTCCCTTTATACAGTTTTGGTGGAAGCACCTCGGTTGGACCTCAAATATTTCACCTCAAGCACCCATTTACTAGTGTTATTGGTCAAAATGTAGATCCTGAGTTGTTGGATCAATTCCACAAGTGGTTATACCACGGTACCAACACATGTTCAAAGAGGTTAGTTTGCATAATTTGACACTTTTTTTCCAGTATTCATCTTTTACACATCCATTTCATGCAACAATTTTATTTTAATTTCTATTTGTTTATATAGGAGGAAGACTCCGTATTCTATAAAGGACAACCAAATTATGCCATGGTTAGATCTTGGAGTGGAAAAGGTTAACAAGAAGGAGTGGTTCTTTTTCCTGGCATACCCAGGACAAGTCCTCAATGACTCGGTAAGATTCAATGTATTTGATTTGTAGATATTTTGTAGATAATTTGTACTCTGATTGTAGATGCTTTGTATTCTGATTGTAGATGAATTGTAGTTATTTTGTAGTTTTGTGTAGATTATTTGAAGATAACTTGTATTATAAATGCAATCTATTTTTGCTGCAGCACATTAATGTTATAATGTATTACTTGAGGAAAAGAGGAAAGTATGACCCCCATAACAAGACCAGGTTTACTACAATAGATTGTGTGTTCAAGACTAGGATTGATCAGATTTATGAAAAGTTCCAAAATTCTCCTCAAGAAAAGAAGTTTTCTGTTGTCAAACCTCATGACGTTGTAGCAGAATATATATTGAGGTATAGACTACTCGCAAATATTGCATGGGATGAATTTGATTATGTCATCATGCCCGTCAACATTGTAGAAAAATTCCACCGGGTGTTGGTTGTTTTGACATTGCAGACAGACAACTTTATGCACATGATTCCATGGTCTCTTCACACAATCACCCTATTGTTGAATCTTGTGTCTACAAGTTTTCTGTTATTATCCCTTTGTATTTGTCATGCACCGGTTTTTATGAGAAGCGTAAAGATATCAACTTCAAGAATACAAAGGCATACATTGAGAAAGTTGTTACCGACCCTCTTAACATTCAGTGGATCATCGAAGAGATACCACTGCAAAAAAAATGATCACTGTAACAAAAATCTTCTTTCTTTCTATACATTTAACCCTTTTTTTAATGGTTTGGTAAATATTGATATTTTTTTTATCTTTGCAGCGATTGGGGTGTATTTGTTTCTGCCTTTGCAGAGTATGTTAGTCTTGGAGAGTTATTAATTCCGGCAGAAGACCTTTCTGATATTGACCAACACCATAGACGTTATGGAGCGCTACTTTTGGACTATGCTAGAAAGAAGCAGGAGCATGGGGCAATTAGTGAAAGTGAGGTGACGGGCAAATTGGCAAGGAGAAAAGGTGCACCAGCTTTGAATGAGAAAGCACGAGTCCAGAGGAAGAAGAAGTAGTTGTAATGTTTTGTATGGAACATGTAGTACAATTGTTTAGTTAATGCTAGTTTAGAAGAAAGATGGTAGATAAGTTTTTGAACAATATTGTTGTGTTTTAACTGTAGCAGACTTGTGCTACAATTATAGTAGCCTTTGTTTTTTTTTCTTATCCAGTATAGTAGTTCAAATGGAAATATTATGTTGGTTTTATATTCACTTATTGAATCTTTACAGTTTGATCTTCATTATTTTAGCATATAAATCCTTTCCAACTGAATTTTTATGCAATTATTCTGTCAACGCAAAAATATATAATTATTTTGTTGTTTTTTTGTACATAAAGTGTAAAAATCAGTAACTAAATATTTTGTTGCTTTTACATTCAATTTGTTGAATGTAAAAAAGTATCTGATCTACATTATTTTTAGCATATAACTTCTTTCTAGCTGAATTATAATCTAGCTATTATGTCAGCTACATCTATTGTAGTTTTTTGTAGTTGTATTTGTAGATAATTTGTAGAAAATATTTAACAATGTGTTTTGTTTCTTTTATATTCATTTTTTGAACTTAAACAATACTTGATCTACAATATTTTAGTATATAACTCCTTTCCTACTGATTTATAATGTAGTTACTCTGTAAATTCCAGTTAATATAATTTTTTTGTAGTTGTATTGTAGATAAATTGCAAAAACACATTAACAACAATGTAAAGGATGCTAGAGATAGTAGAAAAGTGGTAAATTATATATATAGAAACCATTCATAAACAAATCACTATATGAAAGTATTATGTCAATACAGAAAAATCTTATCTAACTACATTATGATCTTAAAAAATCTCAACAATTACACATCAAAATCTGTTATCCTGAACTCACCAAATTTTTTTATGAAATATATTGTTAACTACATAAAATTTTATTTCTTTCTGGGTGCATTCTTGCAAGATCTTTTGTTATGCCCTTCTCTTCCGTAGTTGCCACATGAAACCTTGTACTTCTTTGAATTTATTTCATTATATGTTTTGTATCTTTCTTTTTGAGGTCTTCCAAGCTGTCTTTTCCCTCCTATAGGTGGATTTACTACTTCTTCAGATATATGTTGGGGCACATTCCATTTGCTTTCATCAGGCAGGAGATTTACTGGTATTTCATAAGTACGCAAGAGGTTCTCCCTTGTGTAATAAGGAGAACAATATTGTTCAAAAGACTCATCCCTGTGTCTTAAAGCAGCCATAACATGTGGACAAGGAAGTTCATCAAGCTGGAATTGCTCACAACTACATCTCTTGTTTTCAAGACAAATAATATAGCGCCTCACACCATCTAGTACTGTATGGATGTAGTCTGTTGAAGCCCTCACCTATGATTACATTACAAACAAAAAAATAATTCATATACGGTTAAACTCAAACTATCTGCAAATATCTACAAAATATTTACAAATTATCTACATTGTCCTGTATAATTAATTTGATTCAATAAATGATCAGATCTTACTCTAAGCTTGTGCGACAATGTTCTGTTGTCATCCAACTCTTTGTTAAATTTGAACCCAAGGTATGTGAATGTACCCTTTGCTTTCAATAACTTTTCTTTCGTCCAACGTTCAAGAAGGGTCCTCATATACTCTAATAGTTCTACTATCGGCAGCTCTCTTGCATATTTTGTTACAGCATTCAACGACTCTGCAATTTTTGATGTCATAGTCCAAGTTCTGTTCAACATATCATGTACTCGAGACCATCTATGATAGCCAATATCGTATAAGTATGCTTTAACACAGGGGTCAATCTCTTCAATCTTTGACATCCTTTCATTAAATTCATCAAGCGTGTATGAACGTGCCGTAACAAAGTACAATTCACTTAACTTTAGATGTCCCTTCGTGAACTTTGCTCGTATATTTGTCCAAATATGCCACATGCAAGAATAATGTGGCATGCCAGGATAAACAATAGATGTTGCCTTCAAGATACTCTCATTCCGATCCGAAACAACACACATATTTGGTCTTTCACCATATGCATGTTTGAATTGCTCAAAAAACCACTTCCATGATGCGTCATTTTCTGAATCAACAACATATGTCAATGGTAATATGGTACCTACATTATGTGGAAAAAAGCAATTAATTGGCTGCAGGAAAAATGCAGAAGAAGACATATACATACAAACTACAACTTTTTTACAATATATCTACAATAAATCTACAAGTACTACAAAAAATATACAAGCTACAATATTTCTACAATAAAACTTCAATACCTGCTGCATCCATTGTACTAGTTGTTAGCATTATTCTCCTGTATGCTGACTTTAAGAAGGTACCATCAACTACTACAACTGGTTTACAATATTCCCAACCACTGATTGACGTACAAATCGCAACAAATACATACAAGAAGCAGTCATCGTCCGTCTTCTTCAATTTAACTACAGACCCCAGGTAAGTCTTCTCCATAATATATAAATAACTAGGCAATTTGCTACAGGAGCCAGCGGGATGACCTCTCAAAAACTGTAAAGCCTTTTCCTTTACTCTTCAAGCTTGCATGTAGGTTAGATTCACGCCATGTTCAGACAACATGTCAAATCGTATGTCTTTTGGTGTAAATTGTCTTAGGATCAGAATATTTTGAAATAACCATGCTACCAACTACCATGGCAGTAGGTTTGCGTTGTATGAATGTATTGTCCATTAAAGAGCATGTGTGATGGCTGTTGAAATTTCTGACCTTGAACATTGCAGAATCATTTATGCTAGTTGCCTTGAAGTGCCATGCACAGTTTTCACCAACACATATCAGTCAGTAGCTACAAAATAAATACAATTCAAACACTGGTTTAAAATGTAGATTTAAAAAGAAAAAAGATTGTTTTAGCTTAAACGATCACATTATACAATCTATATACAACATAACTACAATTCATCTACAATACTGATAAACATTATCACAAGAGAAAACTGAAGAAGTAAAAAATTACAAATAAACTACAAAATTAAAAAAATAATGATCTTTGACCATTCATATGTTCATACCTTCTAGCACTAGATCTTTTAACCCTGAATTGAAACTTGTGCATGACAGAATAATGCTTTATTGTAGTTGCAATTGTTTGCTTGTCTTGGTATACTTGTCCTACTTCAATAAAACTGGTGTACTATCTATTATTATTATACTTTCATATTCCTCTATAATGGGAGATGTTGACATATCAAGTAACTTTAGTGTTCTAGACGAACCTGCATGAAAATAAAGATAAATACTGTTATGAACAGTTTGTAGATAATTTGTAGAAACATTGAAATTCTGTATTTCATATTAATTTTTCAAATGATATGCAGTTTTATTGTAGAATAAATGTAGAAATTTTGTAAATATTATGAAAATCCATACTGATATATATATTTACTCTGACATGTAGTTTATTTGTAGATAAAATGTAGATAGTGTAGGATATTGACATACAACCAGAATATGATAGAAAAATTAACAGCGCAAACCTGCAGCTGTGTTCTCATTGGTGATACTCAATTCCATATTGAAATCGTGAACAGTTATACATAGCGGATATGATCCTAAGTTTTTGTTTTCCTTTTTCGTCTCCATGTATACAAGAACACCCATATCGATCCTAATTTCCATTGGAGGATAATGCTCGTTGATAATGTATTTGATTGCTATAATTTTTTCGGATGTATCGATCATTAATTGCTGTGCTATTGTAGAAATCAATAGACTATAACTCGTATCCTCATCTACTACAATGCCATCGACCTGAAATTCTCTAAATCTCCCATAGCTATCCCAATTCCCATTCAGTTGTAGCATAATTGGAATTTTGGACATAATTGTGTTTGTTGCAGAAGAATTGTAGAAGATTTAATCGTTTTTGATTTGTGAAATCAGAAAAAGGCGGAAACACAGTGCATCGCAAAAATAGAGTAGCTAAATTTGAAACGAAACAGACGATAATTATTAATGTGCGTGATTTACATTGTAGAAAATCTGAAAGAATATTTAATTTCACAATTTTAGCGCGCCTAAATAAGGAAGCCTACAACTACAATGATTCCTTATTTAATGAATTGTCTATATTTTGTAGAAATACTATTAGCATGACAGGTAATATGCAAACTATGAACATATTTGGTAATATAGTTTCCTATATGGTATAGGAACGAAAATTTCCCAATTCAAAAATAGCTAGATTTACAAGTAGTCATTAAAAAATAGCCACAGTTTCAAAAGTAATCAAAATTTAGCCACTTTTTATTTAGAGATAAATCTGAACGAAAACACTGTTCAAAATCCGAAAAATACTCCAACATGATATACTGGACGTCCAACATAATATACTGGGGTTCTAGTATAATATATCGGTCCAACATAATATGCTGGAAGTTCATACACAGGTACTCCAATCTCCAGTATATTATACTGGAACTTTTCGCGTGTTGAAATTCCAGCATAATATGCTGGAAGTTCATACACATGTGTGCCAATCACCAGCATATTATACTGGAACTTTTCGTGTTGCAGCAAAAATAGTGGCTATTTTTCAGTGACTTGCAACGTGCCTATTTTTCAAAGATCGGTCCGAAAACTGGCTAGCCCGTGCTATTTTTACCTAATTTCTTTGATTACGTTGATCTTACATAATAATTGGTTAGATTTACTATTTACGTTTTTAGCCGGTATACATAAATAATACACAACTATACACATATTATGAATGGACTAGCTTTATAATTTAGAAAAATTAATCCAAAAAGCCAACCGCTTAAACTAAAAATAGCTGTTAAATGTATAATACATGTATAATACGTGCATAAAAGTGTATAATCTATGTACTCTTGCTAAAAATATAAACAACAAAACCAACCGGCTATTTGTGTAAGGATCCCTTTTTAATAAAATTGAAAGTGATAAAAGAAATTAGCCCATTAGTTAGCGCGATCCAATCCCACATAAGAGACTAGACATGAAAGAAAAAGTGGAAATGACATTAGGTAGCCACTTTTAAGTATGTTGTTTCACAGTTACAATGTATTTAAAGATTAACCAATTTCGCTCAAACTCTAGGACACAACTGCCGCGACCCGAATTTTCCACCCTCGGGAGTCGTGACGGCGCCTACTCGTGGAAGCTAGTCAAGCCACGTATTGTAGAATTACTAACTCATTTATTAGTCCTTTTTAACAATTTAAACTAATATGCGATCAATAGTAAAACATTAATGTTAAATAAAAACAAGCGGAAGATTTAATCTGATAGAATAACCAAAGCCAACATGCCAATGCCAACATACATCTCTACCCGGAACCTGGTGTCACAATATCACGGACAGTCTATGATTACTACAACAAAAGTCTGAAAAGAAAGTACAATTTGTCTCAGAAACAATGAAAACAGAATACATAATAAGATCGAAGAGAACGCTGGGCCTGCGGACGCCTGCAGGACTACCTCGGGATCTCTAGCTGGACTAAAGGCAGCCACCCAATGTTATAGTCCAAGAGCTGCTCCAGGATCTGCACATAGTACAGAGTGTAGCATCAGGACAACCGACCTCATATGCTGGTAAGTGCCTAGACTAACCTCGGCGAAGTAGTGACGAGGCTAGGACCAGATTGCCAAATAAACCTGTGCAGCTATATAATATACATCGGAAAATAAAATAGGAATAAACAAGTACAAATGGGAGGGGGTACATGCTGCGGAGGTATATCAATATCAACAGTAAATCAAGAAAAGGCATAAGGACAACTTAGTATTTACAACAAAACAATAAGGAACTTGTAACCAATCTATAAACACTTTATATCATCAATTGTTGCGGCGCGCAACCCGATCCCTACACATAACAACAATGTTGCGGCGTGCAACCAGATCCAATTATATCAGTGTTGCGGCGTGCAACCCGATCCAATTATATTATTGTTGCGGCGTGCAACCCGATCCATATATAATGTTGTTGCGGCGTGCAACCCGATCCAAATATATCATTGTTGCGGCGTGCAACCCGATCCATATATACCATCAACAACAATCATAGTAAGAGTCCCGGCAAGGGATCAATAAAGAACTACACTATCCCAGCAAGGGAATTGACAGTATAAGAAACTACGTCCCGGCAAGGGAGGAACAACTATAACCAAACTTGTTCCAACATCTAACTATCTCAGTTAACACCAAAACTCAGTCATAAGTAATCTTCACGAGAATAATCATAATCCTTACTCAATGCAGAGAATCGTCAACTTAAACATCCGTTGTATTATTTAAGAACACAGTAAATTACAATTCAAGACTCACGGTCATGCTCGACACCAACGCATAGATACTCATCACCAAGTCGATACGTCGTACTCAACAAGAAACAAGTAGCAAATATGACACAACTCCTAATCCCTCAAGCTAAGGTTATACCAAACACTTACCTCAAACTTTCACAGCCAACTCAAGCCTCAAACACCGCTTTTCCTTTTGAATTTGGATCCAAATCAATTGTATCTAGACATAATCGACTTAATAACATCAATAAATGCTAAACAATACAATTCCAATGCTTAATTATACCTTTCCCATCATTCTTCCCAAAAAGTCAAAAATTGACCCCGGGCCCGCTTTGTCAAAACACGAGTTCGGACCAAAACCTGATCACCCATTCACCATGAGCCCGAATATATAATTAGTTCCAAAATTCGACCCCAAAATGAGGTCTAACTCATAATTATACAAAAAGCCCTAACTCTACCAAAATCCCTAATTTTCTACCCTTAAGAACATGATTTAAGCCTAGAAATCTAATGGGTGTTAATGGAAATTGAAGAAAATGAATCTAAGATTACATACCTATGAATTGGTGGTAAAATCCCCTTTCAAAAATCGCCCAATTTGGAGTTTGGAAGAAGAAGTTATGAAATTTTGGTTAAGTCCCGTTTTGCTTCCGTTTTAAAATCACTGGACAGGCCTTCATCGCGTTCGCGATAGGCCTGTCGCGTTTGCGATGAGTTAGGCCTTAGTGACCTTCACGTTCGTTACATTGGGCTCGCATTCGCGGAGCTTTGACCCCTCGAGCCTTCGCGTTCACGGGCCAGTGGCCGCATTCGCGTAGAACAAGTGAGAACCCCCTCCCCCATGCCAATTGCCTTACGCGTTCGTGAGTACCTGGACGCGTTCGCGAAGGGTACTCCCCCCTCAGCCTCGTGTTCGCGAAGAAGAAAACTGGCACTTGGGAAATTTGCCTTACGCGTTCGTGAGTGGGACCACGTGAATGCGAAGAACAAAATCCCTATGCACTGAACAACAAAAACCTGCAACTTTCAATTGTTCAAAAACTTTCCGAAACTCATCCGAGCCCTCGGTGCTCCAAGACAAACATACGTACTAACTCAAAAACATCATATGAACTTATCCGTGTGATCAAATCGTCAAACTAACCTCTTAAACAACG